TAACCTGGTGATCTCCCTCTGCTGCTGTTCCTGAAACCATGGTATTTTTTTTTTTATCTCTCCCTAGAATTTCCCTCATTATTCTTTGTAGAGTTGGTTTGGTGGTCATGAATTATTGCAATTATTCTTTGTCATGGAAGTATTTTTCTCCATGAAGTATGAAAGTTAGTTTTGCAGAGTACATCAATCTGTGTTGAAAGTTGTTTTCTTTCAGGACTTCAAATATTTCACTCCAAGCTCTTCTTGACTTGATGCATTGCATTAAGAAATCTGTCATGATGCTCTTGAGTTTTTCTTTATAAATGATCTATGTCTTTCTCTAACAGCTTTTAATATTATTTCCCTATACTGAATTTCTGGGAAATTGATTATTATATGTTTGCATATAGATCGATTTTGTTTATGGCTAGCTGCCTTACTTACCTGAATGTCGCTTCTTTTTCTCATACTTTGGAAGTTTCTTGGTATTATTTCTGTAAATACATTTTTAATGGCATTTGTGTTGCCTCCTGTTTTTTCTCTCATACCTATTATTCTTAAGTTATTTTTCTTTGGGTTATATTGCAGCGATTGAATTTTTACTTGCTGGTTCCTTGCTATTATTAAGAGCTCTTTCCTTTTGCAATCACAAGCTTCAAACCCGTTTTCAGAGTCTATCTTCATTTTCTGGTTTTGCCAGCTTTCAATGGCATATTTAAATTCTGGAATATCTATTTGAATTTGTTGCATGTATTTTGAATCTTTTTTATATTGTTTATTCAGGGTTTCTTTCATGTCTATGACCTTCCATTTTTTATCTGTCTTCTGTAGAAGTGCTTAGTATTGTAAACCCAAATACTGAGTTCAGTCACCCAAATATTGTAATCCTCTTTCTAGTTTTCCTCACAATCCAAAAGGTTATATTTTTAATCTCATTGAGACATCATTGGAATCCTAGAAATTTAATTACAATCACTCATGGAAATTCAACCCATGACAAGAGTAAAGACACGAAGACATGTTCCAAGTTAAGGGCAGCAAAGGGGTCCTAAGTCCAATTCCTGTGAGGACATGTGGGCAAAAGCCTCAATCCCAGGTCTCTCCCAGCATTTAAGATCTTGTGAATAGTATAGATGCCGGTGGGATTACTGAGTAATGAGATGGATGGCCAGGTGCAAGAATGGCAACTCTGTAATTTGTAGATAAAGATATGCAGAAGAATCAATTTACATAACCCAATTAAGGTAACAGTGGAAATCTTTTGGGGGGGCTATTGCTTCAGTTTCTGATATGCAAACTATTGTGCCTTGGGGGGTAATAGCCTCTGATCTTCAGGCTGGTACACAGTTGACATTTCCAGAGCTATTTGCTCTAACATCTCATGAGCTCAATCCTGTATTGTGGAAAGCATCACACATGGAAACAGGAAGGTCTGAGGCTATAGACTTTGCATGTTAGCACCTCAGCTAGCCTTATGTGCAATTTTCAGAGCCAATTGAAGGGAGAAGGTAATACACTACACCGCTTTTTACATATTTGTATAAGGAAAAGAGTCTCCAAGTAATCAAAGTCACAGCAGTTGTTTTGGATTCAAAGGGAGACACTGCAGTGTCTCCCACATGTAGCAATTCTTTTCTAATGTTTCTCATTTCTTCTTTTACCTGAGAGTATTTATGTTCTAATTATTTACAGTCTCATGATGTTGTTTCTTTACTTCAATTGTCATCACTTCAGAAATTTTAGGTGTACAATCCTATCCTCTTCCATGTGTACAACTCTTTAAATTGCTCAGCTTGTGTTGGAGGCCGGAGTCTACCTTTTGCTTCTGTGTATGATGAATTTATAGGTTTTCCGGATGAGTGAACAGAAAGATTTTAGGCACTTCTCATATTGACTGCAATATCTCTGAAGACAGACTATTTGGTTCTTCTAGGCAGTGCTGGATACAGATACCTAATGGTGTCCACTGGATGTACTGGTACAGAGATGTCTTTTGTTTTTTCCCAGCCTTCACTGGTTCCCTGGTGGAGTGTGCATGGGGGTGGGGCAGGCCACCATCCATGGACGGGTCACTGGCAAGAAGTCCCCATGGTGATCATAGGACTGTGTATGGTGGCAGTCAGCCAGTGCCTCTACACTGAGCTTCCTTGGTGGGAAATCTCTGCAATAGACACTGGAGTTAGACTCAGTGTGAGCAATTTCCACTGATTATAGCGAGCTAGGAGCTGCTGGAAGAAGCTGGCAGCAGTTTTGGGTTCAGGCTTTTCAGGCAACTCCAAAATGGCTGCTGGCCAGTGACTGTCTCTCATTGGAATAACGAGTCCTCTGCACTCACTTCCAGCCAGGGCAGTCCTCTGCATCTGCAGTGCTCCTCCACCATCACATATTTTTCCAGAGCCAGTACCATCACCATGGCCATACATCCCCAAGTTCCAACAGATCCTGTCACACAGTGGGTCTTGTTCTGTGCAAAGGAACCACAAAATACCACCACCTTCTTCCTTTAATTTATTTTTATTTTTACTCTTTCTGTGGGCTTCAGGTATCACTTTAGATTCTTCCTGTGTCTAGAGGACTCAACTTTTTTCTCATTGTATTTCCTACAATGCTATGTTCCAGAATCTTGGTTGTATCTCTCAGACAGGCTTTTTACTCTGCTGCTTACTGTATTACCATCTTCCCAGAAAACCAGTGTTTACAAATTCTTTTGCCATTTGAACTTTCCACTGAAAGTAAGCCATGTACTATTTTTGAATTGCCAGAAAATGCAAGTACTGACATAGAGAAAAAAATCAATTCCCTTCCTGGGGAAGACTATTTGAGTGCCTCCCTTTTAATGCAGAACAATTGATGCCACTTTGATTATACTGAGACTTAATTCCTTATACTGAATGTGTACACAGTGGACTATGGTATTATCTTCTTTCTTCAGTTGGTTCAAAGCATTTCATATAATGCTAGCCAAGATAGTGGTATGTAATCTCTAAAGCATTCAGGCAGTCTCCTGTTTCTTCACATAGGCTCTCTGTAAAAGATATGGGTACATCAGAGTAGTAGAACCAGTCAGTTCAAGGAAGGTAAACTGGGTATGAACCTCAAGGAAAAGAGACTATGACTTCCTAGGGTACAAATGTTTAAAATTCCAAAACCGAAGCAATCAATATACTCCAACAATTCATTTGCTACCTTAATTAAATTATGCAAATTGATCCTTCTTCATATTGCTATCTCTGTATTTTGCAGACATACTTTGTCATTACCTCAACAGCCAGCTCAAGTTACTCATGTAGTTTCTGCCATCATCACTGCCACTCATTCTTGAACCCCTCCCTTCTTCACAAGATAATAAATTCTGAGAAAGGTCTAGGATCAAGGCCTTTGTCTGCACATATTCAAGGAGATTGGACTTAGGACTCTTTGGCTGCCCTTAACTTTGAATATGTCTTGGTGTCTACTCTTGCTATGGGTTGCATAAGAGGTGGTAATTGGAATTTGCTTGCTGTTATTCTAATAACATCCCTGGGTTTATAAATATAACTTTTTGTATTGTGAAGATGGCTGAAAAATGGATTACAGTACTTGGATAACTGTCCTCAGTATATGAGATTACAATAACTTCCAGTTCTATGCTATTGTCTATAGTAGTAATTCAGTGACAAAACTGACCTTAAAAGGAACATGAATATCGACAAAAACCTAGGTAACATGCATGGACAATATTTTGTTAAAATAAAAAGGACTTTGATTCTGTGAAAACAATTAGTTGCTCATAAGGTTGTGTAACAATCCAAAGCATTGATTTCTGTTGGATATTGCCAGCAGTGCCAATATTCAATCATATCACTAGGTTAAATGCCTTCTCTTTAGGTTTGCTCCTTCTAGTGATTACCCCCACGAATCTTGGCCTCCACAACATAATACAGGCTGTGTGAACTTTACTAAACAAGTCCAGGATTCCAAGAAGTTCCAATTATATCCCTACTTAGATCACCTTCCTCCAAGCTTATCTTCCAAGGTGCACTGTCATCCAGTATCTGTGAGTGGGTATCATTTCAGTCTGGAAACAAGCAAGAGTCATATCCTGGATTTTGTTCTGATTTTTAGTCAAGTCAGTCTGTTGTAGAGTCTATTTCTATGTGTTATGAACATCTCTGAGACTATAGGTAGAGTACTCAGTTTTCCAATTCTGCAGGCACTGGGATAGGTCTCAGACAGGCTTCAGCTTCAGTCAGGGGCAGAACAGATGATTCTCAGATCCTCTGAGCCCAGAGAAGGAGTCATAGGCCAGTTATAGAATACTACAAGTAATAAAAATGGCAACCTGTTATCGTTAAACTACTTGAGTATATATTATTACCATAATATATGATGTAACACTGCTTTTTCTACCTTCTGTAAGTCGATTTTACTCAATATTTTATAAATTCATTTGATAGGTAAAAAATAGAAATTTTCTTCCTGATACGAGCATTTTTTGAGAAATGTATACTAGCAGCAGATTAAGAATTTACCTTTATCTTAATTTCACATGAAAGTAGGAGAAAAAGCATTTTTTTCAGAAATGCATAATGGAATTATGAGTTACAATTACTAGCTAGAGTAATAGCAGCAGAATAAGAATTTACCTTTATCTTAATTTCAGCTGAAAGCAGAGAAATTGTGCACAAAGATAATTAAAGTCATTAAATTACATATGTAAAGAAGGTCTAAAGGGTATATAAATATTTTTCATTTGATTTACAGAAAATATACTTATTAAGGACACATCAAGAATGTTGGAAACTATATTACATCATTTAAGAATATGAGTGTAGCATGTGAAGCCATTACAATGAAAAATTTTCTGTATATAAATGAAGTTTAACTGTGACAATTTATTAAGATAATCTGATCAGAATTTTAACATCAAGTGTCATGAATGAAGTTATTTTTTCATCTTTTCAAATAATTTCCAAAATCATTAATATTCTTAGTATTTAAACATTTTGATGATCAAAACATTTCTTTACTTTTGTTGCTGCTGTTGTTGCATTATTTCTAGTATAACATCAATACTAGATTGATCTCTGGAGTGGAAAGAGAAAGCTCCTAGTCCATTACCTAGCTCCAAAAATCCATTTAGTATATTATCATCAAATAGAGGATATATCAGATACTAAACTGATAAGAACATATACTACACTTGATCTTTGCCAAAAGGCTGAGAAACAATATGTAATTATTATTTCAATTGAAAATAATTACTGAAGCATTATTCAATATTCTTTTCCTACAAACTGTCTATTAGTTTAACTTATAAAACTATTAGGAATCTGAATCCCTAGATAACCAGAAAAGCAAGGAAAATATAGGAAAAATCAATTTTTTGTTTCAATGTGAATTATTAGTGCTGTCCTGTACTTACTTGCTCTCATTGCCATTATTTCTTCTTTCTTTGATTCTTTTTTTATTTTAAAGAGAATAAAATATAACAGATAAAAGCCAATTAGAAGAAGACAATGCAAGCAACACAGGGTTCCAAAACAAGACACCAGGAAATCAAGAGCAGCTATCATAATGTCTCTTGCTTTCTTCAAATTAGTTGTCCATATGAATTCAAACATAACAAAGTAGCACAAACCTGATTGAAACAAAGGAATGAAAGCACTACAGGAATTCAAAACCAGACAATAGGAAAATCAACAATGGCTACTATAATGTTTCTTGTTCTCTTCAAAATAGCTAACATATCTTTACACATTGACATCAAATAAGAAAAAAGATGCTAAAACCTATCAAAGCAAAGGAGAAAAGCATTATTGAATAGAAAATCAGCAACAGCTATCATAATGTCTTGTAGCAGTTCATACCATCACACATATAAAAAGCAATTCTTATAAACTCTTTAGAACTTCTTGGTATGTATAAGCCTATACATGTACACCTATCATTACATTAGAGGGAACAATACAAGAAAAACAAGAAACAAAAGAGACAAATAAATAACAATGACAAAGAGCCTCAAACAAGAACAATATAGGCTTTCAAAACAAGGTGACAGGAACATATCTAACACTATTATTTTGCATACTTATATTCAAAATAAATAATCAGATCACCAGATATAAAAATGCAAAATTGACATAGTCCTATAAATGTTAGCTGTTTTGCTCCAAGAACTAATAGAACTAGTAGTACCATCATCTTAGCTATCTTAAGTGTATCTATACATATTTATAGTTTTTTTTCTTTTCCCTTTGTTCTTTTCTTCATTTTTCAATCTGAGATTTTTTACCATTGAGAAGTTTCACACTCTTTTACAATATTTATTGAAGATTTTGTATCTTATTTACTCTTTTGGTTTCTCACTCAGCTATAAAGAAGTAACACTTTGAGGCATTTATAAGTAAATGGATGGAACTTTTGAGACCACACTCATAAATGAAATAAATCAAACTCACATGTGAAAATTCCATATTGTTTCCACAGTGTATTTTTTCTTTCTTTAATTTTTGTAGAAATCCAAAATTTCATTTTTCATAGAATTTGTACTTTTTGAGCTTATAGTTACTATACAGGAAATCAACATTTGTCCAAGTGAAAATAAGACAGGTTTTATTTAATTAAAGTGTTATACAGCACATATATAAAATCAAGGTCTTTTATCCAAATATCATTTATATAAAAAGAAATAAAATTAACATAAATCTTTTTCAACAAATAAGTTATACTAACATATAGGGAACCACTTAGTTTGCATATAGTGCAATATTTTTAAAACAAGAAAATTTGTAATCTGGGGAGACACTTTTAATTGTCACTACTTGCTTTTATCTCTTTTTATTTTGCTTCTTATTTTTATAATTACAGTGAAAGGATTTGTCAGTAGGAGTAATGAGTTTTCCATACAGTTAAGTGAGGCACACAGATCCTGAAATACACACAAGAGAACAATATATGAAACACATCCTGGTTGACTCTGAAAGCCAACACAGAAGCAGAAACTTTGTCAGATATGTCAGATAAAAACAACACACCATTTATTGTTTAAAAGTAATTCCAGTTGAATTAAAGTACACTTATTAATGCAAATCCTAAAGACCAGGGAAGCTTGGAGAAAAGCATTTAAAGTTTTTAATGAAAACAGTCTTTGAAAAGGTAGCTTGTAGAAACACCTTCAAAACTGATGGAGAAATAAGGATATATCAGGATGAAAAAAACATAAGAGATAATGAGCACCACACCAGCACCACAAGTGGTCTAAATAGTTATCCTACAAAGACATACTTAAAGAAAATTAAGGAATGAAACTCTGATGAGATGAATAAATTTACCTGGATGAGCCAAAAAAAAAAAAGATAACATAAAGAAATCATCACTATAATAAATAATGCAATGTCAAAAATGTGTCAATATTGTTCAGAAACGTCACTTAAAGTATATGAATTCAATGCTTCTATCTAAAGACACAGATAGAGTGGCTTCAAAAAATAAAGTTTCCTACTGTAAGATGAAAAGAAGAGGCAAAACCAAGTCTCAAAATAATTAAAGACTTGCAGTCACATTTTATGCAAAAACTATGAAAACATGAAACAGCTTTTCCACTTTCAGGCAAAGTACACTTCATTCCAGGATGGAAGAAAAGAGACAAAGAAAACTGCTATGTATTATAAATGCATAACTCAACAAGAAATCTCTTATTTGTAGGATTTAACCTCAATCAGGATAACAAAGAAATCTATATGCAAAATTACTGTATAGCATTCTGAAAAAGGGGATTCAACAGTAGATCAAAAAATTGAATGACACCACTATTCCTGACAGAACCCATACTGTATTTTCAAACTAGTTGCTCCATATCCCAACTAACAAATTGATTATATAATTTCCTACAAAATATCAAAGCCATTTTTACAGAGGTGTAGAAAACATTAGTAAAATTCATATGGAAAGAGAAGACCCAGCTTATTAAAGGCAAAAGCAGTTAATCAAGGTAAATAAGGAGGCATCATAGTTCTGGCTTTCAAGTTAGATTACAAAACTATTATAATAAGCAGCATAGCAATGTCAAAATCAGACATGTGGAATATGGAACACAAAATAGGATACCCAAGCAACCCAGGCACATCAAGTCACCTGAGTACTCATGCAGCACTGAGAAAAAAGGAAGCCTTTCAAAACACTTTCTATGTGAATATAGATAACACACAGACAAAGACAAGAGTCTTGACTACATCTCTCATGATATACTAAAACAAAGTTTAACTCTATAAACATTCAATGAGATTTAACAAATTGGCTGATACATGCACAAGTTAAACTCTTGAAGACAGTACAGTACTTGATTACAGTATTTCATTACAAATGAATACACATTTTATCTACTTTTTCCATTTATTTATTCCTTATGCATTTCAATATGAGTCATCAGTTAAAGTGGATCCATAGAAACAAAGGAAGAAAACCAACCATAGATTCTTCTGTACCCAAGATAGGTGAATGTGAGCATCAGCATTCAGCTCTTCCTTAACCAGACAGCTCTGAGCAGGACACTGGATAGGAGAAGCCATAGGCAGGGGGCCCACCTCCACCACATCCACAATGATCATGGTATGCAACTGAGTGAAGGGAAGGCTAAGAGAGGACTCAGAGCTTGAGTAGGGGCAGTATGTCAGAACCAAGAAACCTGGGGTGCAAACACTCCATAGTATTAACCACAGGTTGAGCTTAGTGAGTGGACTTGGGATAGTTTGCACTTTACAGTTCAAATGTAGTTTTGTTGCATGCTAAAGAATATATGTATGCATGTAATTCAATTTTATTTGTCCTTTTTCTCTGTTTGCTAACACAAGATTTTTCCCCTTTAAATGATGACTCATATTGAAAACTAAACAGTCTAACACATATTTGATTCTTCTATAAGCTACTAAGGAAGCATCCTCATGTTTGAGACCTCCTTATCCTATTAATTTACTGCCATCTTTTTCTCTTCTATAGTGCTGCTATGATCTGCACATTGTTCTGGAATAATAAGTAACCTGTCATTTGAGAAAACAGCAGAACCTAAGAAGTAAAACAGTTTAACTTACTGTTCTATGGAGGATCATAGAATTCTCATTCCTGATGTGCTTGAAAAAGTAAGTAAATACATCTTATCTGAGAAGGATTATAAGAATTTTAGTTCAACTGTGATTAAGAAAGTCATTCTCATTACTTATTGCCCCCAGGGAAGATGCTAAGAATCTCATTCATGAAATCCTTTAAGAAGTCACTCCATTTTCCATTCTCCATGAGAAGCATCATAAAAATTCCATTTCTGGAGTACATGGGACAGTGACCACTATTTCCATCTCCCCAGAAGGCAATCATTAAACGTCTTCCAAGTGGGCTTCCTTTCACCTGACAGACAGGAGCATCCTTATCTCTGAGGACACAGGACAGGAATCTGACACACAGGTCTTGATATTTCTGCCCCAGCTCACCATCTTCTATCTTACCTCTACCTCAAGCATACGCCTTGTGAGGGTTCCCTTTTTGATCAAAACTTGCATAAAATCATGTTTCCCCGATTCTTTGGTTCTTCACTATGGATATGGCCCCTTGTGGCATGTAGGAGTCATTATTAAATAAATGTGCATACTTTTCTTTGGGTCATCTGTCTTTTGTTAGAAGCAATAGCTTCAGCATTTTATACATTTTATGCATAATTACCCCTCCCCTAAAATCTGAATTATTTTGATTATGGATATATCCTTTTCATTTTTAAATTCCCAATACTCTATCACTGCCTGTTGGAAGCACATCCAGAAAAAAAATTAAAAAGTTTTTTGATGAACATAAAAGGGATCAAGAGTGCTACCCAATGGGCTTAAAAGGGCCTCATTGAGGAGGAGGAGCATGAATGCTCTCTTACTGTGTGCTGATAGAAAAGTCAGGAAATTCTTAATAGATGCTGTTATCATACCCTAAAATAAACTAGAGGGAAATGAGACCCACAGATTGATGTTTTATTTGATACCTTAAAGTATTAGACTGTCTCCTGATTTTTCTTTTGTCTTATGTGTGTGTGTGTGTGTGTATGTGTGTTTGAGTGTATTTTACTATTGTTAGAGAATTGTAACGATTATCACATTCATCTTCTATCTATAGGTACACTGAGCTAAAACATACAGCATCTAGGAGAAATTCTGAATGATGAGAAAAACAAAGGAAGGATGTTTCCTATTTTGACTA